AAACTTTCTTAAGATATCTCTAATCTATACAAATAAATATAATTGTAGTGTATGTATGTAATATCAAAATAACAGCTGTTTACTAAATACATATGAAATTATATACGGGTGCTTATAAGAAAAACACAATTTATATATATTTTTTGTCTGTTTGTTCCGGCTAATCTCTGAAATGGCTGGACCGATTTTGACGGGACTTTCACTGGCAGATAGCTAATATTATAAGGAGTAACTTAGGCTACTTTTATCTTAGAAAAAGAGGATTCTGCTAAAAAAATTAAAACGCACCTAGGGACGAACCCAAGCGAAGCGAGGGTGAATCGATAGTTCACCCAATATATCCCACCAATACCCAATATTTTATAACATGATGGTGGTAAAAACCAAAAACATCTTACACACATGTTAATTCTACTTTTTTATGGGGCTTAGCGACAAACAAGCATACAGACCACCTGATGGAAAGCAGTACCTGTCGCTCATAACACCTACGGTTCATGCACTTAGGGTTTATGTTACAAAAATTTAGATTAGTCAGAACAACAGAGAGAATAAATTTTTTTTTACATTTTTGTCTGTCTGTCTATATGTGAACATACATATAGTAAAAATGTATGGCACTTGGAGAACAAAGAAAAAATTAAATAACAAAACGAATACAGAGATAAACATTTAATTATCATTTTCCTGCCAAAATGTTAAAATTACTGTAATAACAAAAATATTATATTAAAAAGTGTCATTAAACGCAGAAAGGCGAAATGTTCCGAGTGCTCCAGAACACCTATTCAACTTCACGCGGTCGGTTCGTATCAACACTTGAATTTCTTTCAAAGCAATGCGTATACCAATAATTTAGAAGTCCTTATTTCAAGGGAATAGCCTCTACTTTCGCATAGCCCCATGTCGAAGTCCCCCTTGTTCTGATTACCCGGCCCTATTGTGTTGTGAGGGTAGTCTGCAATTATTTTTGAAGGGAATTGCTTCGTAAGTAAATCGTGTGGGAAGTATTAAGAGTATGTTCTTTTATCGTGTAAGTAAACAAGATATATTCATCCCGCGGGATGGTTGCCGGGATAAAAAGTATCCTGCCCTTCCCAGGATCTCAAACTATCTTCTTACCAAATTTCATCCTAATCGGTTCAGTAGATCCAGAGATTACCCCCTACAACGTCACAAACTCACAAACTTTAGCTCTTTATAATATTAGTATAGATATCTATGCATATTATTTGGAAATATTAAAAAATCACTTATTTTTTAATGGATATCTTTTTATTTTTATTTTAATGTCATTTTGTGATCTAATTCAATTTGAAATACAAATGGCAAAACGTAGTTTCCCTAGAGATGTTTTTTTGGATTTTGCATTCATGGAAATAATTATTTTGTTACAAGAAAAAATGTTAAATCTGAAGTCAAAATACGTTCGTAAATCTATTTATCTCTACAAACTTCTTCTACATCGCCTTTGGAGTTAGTTCACTTTCACATATATTTTTTTTATTTTTAAGTATTGAATAAGCTATTAACAAAGTCTATAACTTCAATTCAAATTTCTTTCAAGCTAAATAACAAAGAATTTAATTGAAACAAAATTGAATTGAAGTTTTAGACTTTAAATTACATTATAATAAAATCAGTTCATAACTTGAACATGCACACTTTAAATATATGCATGCAGACATACTTATGAATGGTTAAATCTATACATATAATAAAATTGTAACTAAGCCGAATCTGTACATTATATATTTTTTTGGAAAATCTTATTGAAATAAACATTATAATCGATACAGAGACCGAATCTATACTTTTTAGAATTCTTGTGTCTGTCTTGTCATTGTCACATTGTCTGTTTGTCTGTGTGTTACCTCATCACAAAAAAAACCACTGGAGGGATTTTAATGAAATTTGGTATGGTGATAGCTGGTTATCCGGGTCAACATATAGGATACTTTTTACCGCGGGAAAATATCTCATTTCTGAGAAAAAATACAAAAACTGCAATGTAAGAGTGTACTAATCTGTAAAACCTAAGAATTTGATTTTTGGTCATCTGAACGCGGGCGGAGCTGCGGGCAACGCTAGTAGAAAATAAAAATGTTTATTATATTAATGTTGTGTAAAAATGAAAAACATTTTGAAGTCCACGCGAGAAAATAAATTAAATTGCATTATAGAGCTTCATTGTCCATTAAAAGTTATACGGAAAGCAGTCATTACAAGAATAATAGCGAAAATCTAGTTTAAATGAGACTCTATAGTGTAGCTCTGCAAGTGGAGGACAGGCTTTATAAAACAATGCCACTTCAAGACAATAGCAACTACGTATGTATATAAGAAAGACATTTACAGATTCTATTTAATAAGAATAGGAATTTTGTACTCAATTTTTATATATTCTTTCACTTAACTCGGGAACTGAGAGTTAAGTTCACTACTAGTTGAAATATCTAAGGATTCTGTGCTGGTCATCACAGCTTGGGTCTTCTTGTGATAAACAACAGCATTCCCAAGGAGTGTTAATGTCAGGCAGGTGGCCGTTCGGAAAACGTTTGTCAAAACTGATCATCAGTATGGAAGACGTAGGTACTGCATCGACCCCAAGTAATTAGGAAATGGGCAGGGAGGTGATGATGATGATAGAAGTTAGAAGGATTTAAAAAGAGAGACACAAGATTATTTTTATCCTGAAAGGATACATACACAGGTCATGCAGATTGTCCCGTTATAGACCGTCTTGTGACGGATTTCGGTTAAAAATTATATAGGCTACTTTTTTCCTTGTCGAGATTTCCGTGGAATAGGATTATTTTTAAAAGCTTTTATTTCCGTGGGATTACTTTTAAAAGATTTTTTAGCCGTAAAATAAATTTTATTTATTGGTTTTTCGAAGACGCAATGATAGACAATTTCTTTGAAAAATATATCCATTTTACAGTTATAGGTTACTTACTATGTAAAATGAATTGCAATCAACATAAATTATAACATTATAAATAATTTATAGTATTAGAAACTTGGAATCCAAATATGGTAGCTCGAACACTAAAGAGTTATAAAAAAAAGAAAATAAAATAAAAAATAAACTAATAATTTTATAGACAGCCATTAAATTAAAATAATGATGTAATATTCTATTTAAAAATATATTTTTTTACCAAACCCTTACACAAACATTACACGAACACTGAGAACAATTTATATTCTACTCGCACAAGGCACAATACGTTGCTAAGTGAACGAATGAATCAAATCAACGATTTATTTCGCCTTTTATTCACCAAATTGAGTATTTGAATGAAGTTCCGCTAAATTGGATTCTGTTATTGTTTAACAGACGAAGTTGAGTTTTCTTTTGCCATTGTAATTGAATGTAGCTGTTTCTAAAGTAATTAGTAATTTTCAAAGTGAGTAGAAAAGCTCGTGTATGGTCTTTTTTTTTAAATGTGTATTAAATACTAACGTTTTAATCTAGCTTTGCTCACGTGCGTTAGTAGGTTTTGTATTATTAATCTGTAATAATATTATAAAGAGGTAAAGTTTGAGAGATTGTGAGTTTGAGACATTGTAGGTGGTAATCTCTGGCTCTACTAAACCGATGAAATTTGGTAAGAAGATAGTTTGAGACCCCGGGCAGGACATAGGATACCGGAAATCATCCCTTAAGGGGGGGAAATGGGAATGAAAGTTAGTATTGGAATAGTATAGGAAATAGTATAGGAAGCGCTCCGTGTTAGGAACTTTTATTACTAAAAATAAGTAGGTATTAAGTAGATTTTTTTACTCCTGGTATGTACATAGTTTATCGGTGTTAAAATTTTATCCAAATCCGTTCGTATGTTTCTGGGTATAAGAGGTACAAACATGCATATGTACACACATACCGTATTTTTTGTAGTGTAATAATTAGAATTTCTTTCTTTTTATTCGTGTAGTCAATGCAGTAATAACGTCGAATTACTTTTACTTAACTAGAATTAATAGAGTTAGTTAACATGTTATTTATATAAGTAGTATATATATATATATATATATTTCTAAGGCAGGTTAAATGTGCATCATGATAAAATCTGACTTTCTCGAAGCTTTTGTTCTCATATTTCGAGAAAATGTCGATATCTCAAATCTAACACTTCTGGGAAGACGGGAAGCTGTAAGATTTGGACCGTGATACCTTCCTTTCTTTGTATCGCATATACTGTTGTATAGGTAGTGCACGTCAAATTGAACTTACGACCTACGATCGAGTAGGCAACGCCAGCTTCGAAGGTGGCTAAATAACCAACAAAACCTATAAAAACTATACTAATATTATAAATGTGAAAGTTTGTGAGTATGGATTGTTTGTTACTCTTTCACACCTGAATGGCTGAACGGATTTGGATAAAATTTGGCACAGAGATAGATTATAGTCTGGAATAACACATAGGCTATATATACTTTTTATTCCGGAAAAATGTACAGTTCCCGTGGGATAGGTTTGTTTTTGTATTCCTAGAGAACCGAGGGTGAGCCGCTAGTCTATTATAAAAGCTTTTACTTACATGAGAATCTTTCTAAAACTTGTGCAAAGTTATGTCATAAATACGAGTTGGTAAGTTTAATCGAAAAGTTAAACATGTCTACTTTTAAATCTTTTCTGGAAAGATAGATATTCATTTTAAGAAACAAGTTTCAGTTATATGCTATTTGTGAAAAATATTGTGAAAAATCTATTTGAATATCAAATACTTCCTAGTTTTACTTAGATGTCACTTCGGGTCACGCAGTAGGTGCATGCATAATAGAAAGAGATTCCTTTTGTATTCAGCCCTTTTGAACGTCCCACTGCTGAGCAAGGGCCTCCTTCGATACGAGGCAAGGCCTATTGAACAAGGATAAGGATAGGAGGCCCGTGCCCATCAGTGTATACATGGGTTAGGTTCTTTAAACTATGAAACCTATTGAGTATACTAAAACAATTAATTGTTATATAAAAATGAATTGAAACTCACCTGTCACTAGACACCAATATAAGCTGAGTGTTGGCGTACTTCGACCTGCGCTTGCGCACGGCCGACAGCGCCGCGCAAAGGCCCGGTGCAAACGACCGACATGGAGGACACTGGGTAAATGTTTATATTTTTTAATACTTCATCTTATTTCAAAAGATATAGATTTAATCTATTCAATAAAATATTATTTATGGTAAGTATTTATGGTCATAAAAATATACCTAGTCTTTTATGACCATAAATACTTACCATAAAGTTACGCAATAAAAAAATTTAGACAATCTTTTTTATTTCATCGTAAATTGCAAATATAATTTATTGAGAAATAACAAATAGGCACATAAAAAAATCATCGAGTTACAGGTACCAATAGATTTCAAGAAGGCTCTAGTGATCCATCTTGCCTTAATCTGATTTTTTGATTTGATACTGTATTTAACTGAATGATTTTGTTCTAGTTTTATATTTTATACGCTATGCATAACGCATGGACGAATTGTGGTTAATTCGTTCATGGCATAACGTTAACAAATATATTCAAAACATTTTTCTCCTTTTAAATTTCTTGGTTCTATGTTTAATCGAAATTATTTGAGCTGTAAATATTCTCTTTAGTCGAACTGTTGGCTTGTCAAAGAAAAATTAATTTATATTTCTAGCATTAGTATGGATATTATTTTTTATAAATAAACTAGCATTGCCCGCGCGTTCCGATGACCAAAAACCAAATTCTTAGGTTTTACATATTAGTATACTCTTACATTACATATTTGTACATTACATACGTTTTTGTATTTTTTCTCAGAAATGAGATATTTTCCGCTGTAAAAAGTATTCTATATGTTGACCCATATAATCAGCTATGACCATACCAAATTTCATCAAAATCCGTCTAGTAGTTTTTCTGTGATGCGGTAACAGACAGACAAAAATTCTAAAAACTATAGATTCGGCCTCTGTATCCATAATAATGTCTATTTCAATAAGATTTTCCAAAAAATATTTAATATACAGATTTGACTCAGTTAGAATTTTATTATATGTATAGATATTAACGGCATATAAAAACTAAGTTAAAGAAAAAATTTAAAAGTTTTGAGTATAATATTAACGTCATATAGAAACTCCATGTTAATTAAACTAAATAATAATAATCCATTGCAGTTGTGGGAACATTTATAAAGAAAACTTATGAGACCATAAATATATTAAAAGGAAACTTGAAAAATTCTCGCAGATGAAAAAGTTTTGCGATCACTTAATAACTGGCAAACTTTAAACTCGAGTCTTCTTTGAGCTGATATGAACTAGTCTTATGAATGGCGTGTACTCGTATTATAAAAATTAAATAAATAAATAAATATGTTGGGACATTAACACACCAGTTATGGATACCAGACAGTTGATACACTACACATATAACTTTAAATACATACATATTATAAATATAAACACCCATGACTGAGTACAAACATTCGTGCTTGTCACACAAATAAATGCCCCTAGCGGGACTCCGCTGGCACAGTAAGTAGGGTCACTACAAACTGAGCCAAACGTGTCGTCATAAACATAAAACTAAAGTCTGAAACCAATATAAAATAATTACGGTATTTTGTAATGGTTTCAGACTTCAGTTAGTACTGTTAGTCACCTAACTTACCCAATGCGCAGCAAAATAGAATACTCTGACAGCATCCGGAGGAAGATCTTCGTACATTTTCTTCTGTTCTCCTTCTAACTCCACTCCTCTCAGGACTTCATCTAAAGGCGGCGCGGGCCATGGAAACCTCTCGCCTTTAGGGTCACTGAGTAGAGCGTCTCGGACTGCCCGACCCCGGATCACAAGGGTTGGGACTCCCACAGCTATACTGTATTTTTGGGTTAGACGCCGCTGGAAATAAAAAATAGAAAGCATTTTTATTGAACGGTTTAAATAAGGCAATATTTATTTTCATTTTTATTTTATTCAACATTAAAATTCAAAGTCAATTTAAAGAAGCATTTTCTAGCTCATAATTGAAAAATATATATCTTTCTGTTTCGTCATAATATAAGTATGTTTATGTATATATTTATATGTATGTAGGTATATACTCGTAGTTTTGGTATTTATTTATTCTCTCTAATGTTTATGTATTGTTTATAAATAATATTTGTATTTATGTATTTATGCTTATATATTATATATGGAAATATAGTGTATACATATATTAGTATGTTTATATATTGTATTCATTTTGTTTTACATATTATGCTTATTCTTATTTATTTTCTTTTCTTTTCTTTGCACTTTCTCTTTCTGTCCCGCTACTTAACACTATTTCCCACATACATGGGTTGACTGGAAGAGATCTCTTATAGAAATAAGTCCACCTTTGTCCACATCATTTTCTATGTATTTTTTTATTACTTTTTTAGTGCAATAAAAGAATATATATAAATTATTACAACTTTTCACTAAACGTCATGAGTCTACTACCAGTTCGGAAAGAAGAGGCCTCAGACCTGAGAAGAACTGGCGAAAGAACTCAGCAAAGTATTATATAAAGTTTTATTTTAATTTTTTGTCCAATAAAAATATTAATAGAGAGAGTTTAATATACTGTGAAATTTCACGCCATTTCTTTTATCTACATTGCAATCTGTTGTTAGCATACCGACCTAAAAACTTCTTGATTGATCATTAATGCTTGTAAATTGATTTTGATTGAATTTAACTTAAATATATGTTCACTTAAGACCAACTTATTCTTTAACCAAAAAAGGTGTTAAGTTATTACACTAATGAACTACTAAATAAATTATTTATAAGGTATTAAGGCAGAATCTACCACAGAACACGTAGACTGAGCAAAACCGCACGATAAAGCCCCCGACAACACTCCCGCATTATCCACAAAGCTGGCCGTTAGTGTCGCGTTGTTAGATAATCATAAATCAATCCGGCATATATCGTAACTGCGGTCTGATCATTTAAGCTATGTCTTTGATAATTTACTAATTTGTTGCCATGACTTTTCTGTAATTTAAAGATTCTAATAAAGATAGTATAGTTATATATGTATTTCTTTGAGGAAACTTTCTTTTAAGGAGTATAATTTAGCTGTTAACATCCTACAGCTGAGCACGATCTCTTCAATGCGAGGGGGATCAGGCCATAGTCCACCACGCTGCCAAGTTCGGGTTGGCGAACTTCGCATGTCTTTCGAAAACTGGTTTGGTTCTCTCAGACATGCAGATTAGACATTTTTTCTTCATCATAAGACAAGTGATAATCATATTGAGAATTATTTGTACATGAAATATATATGTTGGAACGTTAACATATAGCGCCATCTAGTTCCAGGGTAAGCTACGAAGCTTGTGTTATAAATACCAGATAGTTGATATGTATTTAAAGTAATATATGTGTAGTGTACACATATATTACTTTAAATACATAAATATTATAAATATAAACACCCATGACTGGAGTACAAACATTCGTGCTCATCACACAAATGAATGCCTCCAGCGGGACTCGAACCCGCGACCGCTGGCACAGCAAGTAGAGTCACTACAAACTGAGCCAAACGTGTCGTCTAACATCACATAACAACATGTCAGTGGTTCTAGTCTTGGAGTTTGAACCCGTTTCATTTAATTATCCTAACAAGAACACCTTACCACTGGCCTACCATTGCAATCAACCGCTATGACATTCAGTTCGACCAAACGGATCGATGGACAGACAAAATAGTTTGCGGTCTGCTATCGTACAGTTTACCGTATCAATTTAATGACTTCAAAAAAAGATGAGGTATTCGAGTGTGTTATTTGTGTGTTACGCTATATTTTTGCGAATTTTGAACCGATTATGATAATTCTTCATACAATGAATAGGTTACGAAGCCTGTGGAGAAAACAAATAATCTATATATATATATATATATATATATATATATATATATATATATATAAAATTCTAACTAAGTCAAATCTGTACATTAGATATTTTTTGGGAAATCTAATTAAAATCTGTCTGTCTGTCTGTCTGTCTGTTACCGCATCACGAGAAAACCACTGGACAGATTTAGATGGAATTTGGTATGATGATAGCTGGTTATCTGGGTCAACATATAGGCTACTTTTCACCGCGGGAAAATATCTCATTTCTAACAAAAAATACAAAAACACAAAAACTGCATTGTAAGAGTATACTAATATGTAAAACCTAAGAACTAGGTTTTTGGTCATCTGAACGCGGGCAGAGCCGCGGGCAATGCTAGTGATAGATAAATTAAATGCAATTTCGCAATTATATTTTTTTTATATAAAAATCCGGTGTTCGTGTATCCTTAATTCTTCTCCTCCTAAACTTCTTGGCGATTTTGATGTTTTTTTTTATATGTATGAAATAGTTGTTAGCTATAGTTGGACTTTATGGTTGTTGCTGTTGTTGAATCTTGTAAAACATATTTTTTAATTTTTCAACCAAACGAGGTCCATCAAAAACGAAGACATAACCAAAAGTCGCATAGAAAGTGATATATACTCGTAACTAAATAAATTCCTTCGTACGTTTTCAACCAACAATCTTCTCTAGTGGCTCGTGCGATGGTTCATAAATCAATCCCGTTTAAACGTATAGACTTTGATAGATACCTTACTTTCAAATCGATACCTGAAAAGAACAAAATTGTAACTCAGTAATAAAATAATCTAAAAATAAAAATTAATTTCGCCTATAATTATATGAAGCCCAAATTCAAAATTACTATAATATTGAGTTACAAGGTTGTTTCTTTTAAATGTCACAATGAAAAGCCGTTTTCTATAATTTCTCCGGTATTGACAAAAATAATGTTACTTATTACAAAGTTTGTTTGTGTATGAATGTTTTTTACTCTTTAACATTTTAATGGCTGGAGGAATTTGAATGATATATATACATATATATATATATATATATATATATATATATATATATATATATATATATATATATATATAATTACACAAATATGACCTGATAAAAAAACAGGCTACAACTAACCATCTAAAGCTAGTGACAAATAGTTTAAATAGCAATATCCCAAATGTATTCTTAAATAAGATTTCATAAATACAAAAACAATTTACTTCACAATGTTCAAACAAAGCATTAACACAGGCATTAATAGCTGTAGTATAAATAGTTCTCGCGCCGGAAATATTCCCGTACTGGGTGCATTTCGAACGACTGATCTTAACCAGACTGAACTGACCTACAATAAATACTCCATGTTGTTAAACTGTCAGTTAAAATTATTTGAGACATGGCTTTTAAAGTTTTGCGATATGATTTATATTGGATTTACACAAGTGTAAAGTATTAGCACTAAATATTATGGTACGTACTTATGTATGTACCATACGACACGTTTGGCTCAGTTTGTAGTGACCCTACTTGCTGTGCTAGCGGTCGCGTGCTCGAGTCCCGCTGGGTGCATTCATTTCTGTGATGAGCATGAATGCTTGTACTCCAGTCATGGGTGTTTATATTTATAATATGTATGTATTTAAAGTTATATATGTGTAGTGTATCAGCTATCTGGTATCCATAACACAAGCCTCGTAGCTTAACATGGAACCAGATGGTGCTGTGTGTTAATGTCCCAACATATTTATACGCATAAAACTACATTATATTATAGTGGTTGTACTAATTTTAAGTTCCAGTTATTGAAAATTTGAGGAAAATATATTTGAATAGAAAGTGACTCTATATAAAAAAAAAGATTCCGGTTCTTGTTTTATTCATAACTTTAAAGCTCATTAATAGCTTAACAAAGGAATAAAAAAACAAAAAATGACAGATGAAAAAATATCACAACTTGCTTATTTATATTCCTCGTAAGTTCCTGTGTTAGAAATCTTCACAACATTAACTAGATGTAGTTTTGTCGTAACTTTTAAAAGAATAAAAAAAAAACATATTTTTCATATAAATCGTAAGTTCAATTTTATGCAATAAACAAATCAAAATACAATGTTATTGCGAAATCTGGAAACTGGGAATGTTGAAGGGAGAGGATTATGTAAATAAAATTTGGTTACAAATTAAATAACTCAGATTTGAAATGTATTTTGTGAGTACTCTGACAGTCAAGAGATGTGTCTATATCATCTATATATATAATCAATTGCTGTTCGTTAGTATCGCTAAAACTCAAAAACGGCTAGAACGATATGGGTTCTTTTGCGTTAATAAAGACTCCCAATAATAGTTTTTCTCGAATATCTTCCATGTACAGACAGCGTTCAGTTACAATTTTATTATACTTGTTATAACATAGATTATATTTATATATAGACCAGCATTGCCCGCGGCTCCACCCGCATTCAGATGACCAAAAACCAAATTCTGAGATTTTATATATTAGTATACTCTTACATTGCAGTTTTTGTATTTTTTCTAAGAAATGAGATATTTTCCCCCGGTAAAAAGTATCCTATATGTTGACCCGGATAACCAGCTATCGCCATACCAAATTTCATCAAAATCGCTCCAGTGGTTTTTCTGTGATGCGGTAACAGACAGACAGACAGACAAAAATTCTAAAAACTATAGATTCGGCCTCTATATCGATAAGAATGTCTATTTCAATAAGATTTTCCATAAAATATTTAATGTACAGATTCGGCTTAGTTACCATTTTATTATATGTATAGATTTGTGTTGGTTTATTCTGCTGTCACTCAGTAATGGATAGCAAAGTATGCCAGCGTACAAGAAACACATGTCCTAGTGCATTACACTCAACACTGCTTTAAAAGTAAAATATTTTACTAAATTACACGCGAGCGACGAGAAGTTTTAAGACTGTACAGATACTCGTACGTTAGTTCTTTATGCTTTAAATACTTCCAATACCACTTACACGTACTTATGTA